TTTACAAGTATAGTTCCTTATATGTGTAGCCAAGGCAGATATATTTTAGCACCTGTTAAGTTGAAAATAAGATGCTGTGCATTTGTGAATGCTAGATTTTACACTTACATTTTTTAAATTATCTCTACTACTGAAAATAATTTGAGAGAGAGAGAGAGAGAGAGAGAGAGAGAGAGAGAGAGAGAGAGATAAATGGTCCATGTTCGATATAGAGATGGTTTCCTGGAAAAGAAGCTTCCCTGCAGTCTGTTAAGATCTCCATAAGTGTCAGAACTGGGCTTCAAAAAAATATGTGCTCTAACTTATTGTCCCTAACACTGATGACATAGGACATGTCACTTCTACCAAACTGGAAAACTCCATGTTCGATATAGAGATGGTTTCCTGGAAAAGAAGCTTCCCTGCAGTCTGTTAAGATCTCCATAAGTGTCAGAACTGGGCTTCAAAAAAATATGTGCTCTAACTTATTGTCCCTAACACTGATGACATAGGACATGTCACTTCTACCAAACTGGAAAACATTTTAATTAGAATCAAAGTATTGTCAACCAATCTATGTTAAAGCTGCTAAAAACCACCTGATAAACAGTATACTAAGGTTTAAGTTCTTATCCAATCCTGAATTATTTTTTAATTACAGAGCCTAAATAATCTAATAATAGGTTCTTTTTTGGAGAAAAGAACAGGGGGCGGTGATACAGGATTGTCAATAAAACACAGCATATCCATATAACTGCCTTATGGGAAATAACTGATCACCTTGGTGTTTTCCCCTTTGACCTCAGTACTCTTTAAAAGATATTCAAACGGATTACCTTTTGCAAATGTCAATATGCCAGTATATGTGTGTGTGTGTTATGTGTACAAACACACATAACATTAAGATCAGACTCTTATCTAATAATGATACTTCCTTCCTTCACTTTTACAATGATTGCCGAGTCACCCTTTGGTCCTCTGACCAGCCTGACCGGACTCTCAGTATCTATAGAAGGACAGCTTATCCTGTCCGGGGGAGGAGATGAGAGATAGGTTGATAAGCATTAATCAACAAAGGTGAACATGTGGCGTCCTGAACCAATGTGCCTGGTCAGAAAAGGAGCGGTGATAACTTTTCTTTGTTTAGGGTACTTTTGTTCTCAAATGTGTCTTTTCATACTTCTAGCCTTAATATTTACATTGAGGACTCTTATTTTCTCAAATATACTTAATATTTAGTACATGTAACATTTTAAGATTGCATTTCTCTCAATGTCATGTAACTTACCTGTCTATCAAAAGCTACCCAGGATGGTACGTCGCTTCCAATTTCTTTAGTAAATACACTGTATTTAGGCTTCGTCTTTTCCCTGAGAAGGGGTTCTCCACCTATTCCAGGTTTACCTTCACTCAGCAGCATCCTAACATTATTTAAATAGCTCAAATGCTGAGATTTGTGGAACTTCTCCTTTCCCACCTATGAATACAAGAGATAACATAAAATGACCAAAATTACTCTTTATGGCTTTTCTTATTTGTTTTAAAAGGTAAACAGATTTCTCATCATTTATTTTTCCCATTACAAAATGCATATTAAAGTGGCAAATAATTATGATCAATCTCTATCCATAAAGTTATGCCACATTTCAAATTCGATTCATTTTAACAAGTTCAAAATTTTGAAAAGCAGTAAGAATAAACCCAATGCTCCATGCTATTTAAAACATTTAAAAATAACTATTACCACAAGTGAACATTTAGAACATTAGCTTGCTAACTAGTCTAGTCTCCCCATTTGCCAAGAATGCAAATAGGAAAAAAAAACTCTTCTACTTCAGAATAAAAATCTAAGTTTCCCCACAGAAGTCTAAACACTATTTTCACCAAAACAGAGAATAAAATATTTTTTCTCATTAAAATAAATGTAACAGGAAGTTCCCCAGAGCTGACATTCTCGTCCTAATTGTAGAACCTTGCCTTCCCTCTTCCTCAATTGCCTCCCATCTTTTCTAGGGATCTGGGCAGAGAGGAAAGACCGAATAATGCTATTAAGGGCTGGCAAAATTGTGAGCCAGCATCAACTCATATGCGCTGCTAGTAAGAAAATAAAACAGAAGAATCCCTCTAAGGAGAGAGATGGCAATACCTAGCAAAGTGAAAAGTGTATGTACCCTATGTCCTAGCAAGTCCACTCTGAAATATCTTTTGCGCTGTGCACGAGGAGCTATATATCAGATGATCTGTTAAAGCATTGTTTGTATGAGTGAAAAGTAGGAAACAATCTAAATGTCCATGAGTAGCAGAAAACATATCTCAATTGTGTTCTTTTTATAAAATGGAATATTAATACAGAGGTCTAAAATCACATATGTCAATATAGACAAATCTCAAATGATGTCAAGCAAAAAAAATAGGTATAGTAGAAGGGTACATAAAATTTGATAATTCCACATATATAAAGCTTGAAAATATTCAAAATACAGTGTTATTTATGGATTATATAAGCATGGAAATGACAAGTAGCAAATTCAAGATAATATAATATCCATAATATATGATATATGACAATAAATATCATATATATCATAATGAAATTTGTCTACCCCATAGCCATGCAAAAAAAATAAAACACTTCAGGTACTATTGAAGCTCTCTCTCAGAGTTCATGCCCTTGCCTCCTTCTCTACAAGTAACCATTATCTTTAATTTGCTGCTTAAAGTTGAACACTTAGACAGACCTATATACAGCCAGAGCAATGGCCTCTTGCAAAGCATGATGCACTGGCAGGGAAGTATGAGAGGAAGTTCAAAAAGACCTTTGTTTGTTTGTCTTTTCTTATTTCAAGACAATCTACTGAATGAGAAAATATTTGCAGATCATATATCTAATAAGGGGCTAATCTCTAAAATATACAAAGAACACACACAACTTAATAGTAAAAGGAAACCCGATTTAAAAAATGGGCAGAGAATCTGAGTAGATATTTTTCCAAAGAAGGCATATACATGGCCAATACATATGAAAAGATGTTCAACATCACTAATCATCAGGGAAATGCAAATCAAAACCAAATTGAGATATCACCTCTCACCAGTTAGAATAGTTATCAAAAAATAACAAGTGTTGATGAAGATGTGGAAAAAAGGGAACCCTCATGCACTGGTAGTAGGAATGTAAACTGGTTCAGCCACTAAGGAAAACAGTATAGAGGTTCTTCAAAAAACTAAAAATAGAGCTGCCAGATGACCTAGAAATTCCACTTCTAGGTATTTAACTGAAAATTAAAACACTAATTTGAAAAGATACATGCACCCCCTATGTTCATTGCAACACTGTTTACAATAGCCAAGACATAGAAACATCCTAAGTGTCCATCAATGATGACTGGATAAAGAAAAAGTGGTATATATAATGGAATATTATTCAGCCATAAAAAGAATGAAATCTTGCAATTTGAGAAAGCATGGATGGACCTTGAGGGCATTATGCTAAGTGAAATAAGTCGGAGAAAGATAAATATTGTATGATCTCATTTATAAGTGGAATATGAAAAAAACCGAAGCTCATAGACACAGAAAAGAGATTGGTGGTTACCAGAAGTGGAACATGGAGGCTGGGGATGAAATGAGTAAAGGAGGTCAAAAGCTACAAATTTCCAGGTATAACATAAATAAGTCATGGGATGTTATTGTATAGCATGGTGACTATAGTTAATAACATTGTATTGTATATTTGAAAGTTGCTAAGAGAATAATTATTAAAAGTTCTCATCACAATAAAAAAAATTTCGTAACTATACAGGTGTCCCCAATCCCCAGGCTGCTGATGCATGGCCTGTTAGGAACCAGGCCTCACAGCAGGCTAAACTTCATCTGTATTTGCAGCTGCTCTCCAGTACTAATATCACTGCCTCAGTTTATCAGGCATTAGATTCTCATAGGAGCACCGGTCTCTGGTGCCAAAAAGGTTGAGGACTGCTGATGTATGGTGATGGATGTTAACTAGATTTATTGTACTGATCATTTTGCAATATATATAAATATTAAATCATTACATTGTATACCTGAAACTAATATGATATTATATGTCAATAATACCTCAATAAAATGCCCAATATTAAAAAGAAAAGACCTCATTTCCTCTTATAGTGAAGGCAGCCCGGAAGAATAGGGAAAAGCCTGAGCAGCCCTGCCCAGGGTAGCTGGGCCACAAAAGCCGCCCTAAGCAGATAAGATTAACAGCCCAGCTTGAAGGTTTCAGGAGAAAAGGTAAAAGCAGTGGTTAGGATGATGAGCTGCAGCCTGGCTCTCTTTCTTAGAGAATCCATTGCCAACACCTCTTCCAGCCTCCCCAAATACCTGCCTACTCACACACATTCACACGCACACTCAGGTTACCACAAGTCAGTCCCAAATCAATATAGCAAAGCAAAAGTTGGGCTGGTTAAAATGAATGGTGAATAATATAGAATTTTATAAGCAAGTTCCCTCTTTTAAAGCAAGTAATTTCAGGTAAACACAAACTCATCTCAGGACAAACCAGTAAATGTTTCCTAAGCATTTACTATATTCCTTGCTTTGTCCCAGATATACTAGCTAAAATAAGCATAAGACTCAGCCCCTGCCCTGAAGAAGAAACCCATGATCTTGCTGATGAGGCAAAATTTAGATATATAAAACAACAATATAGTTACCATTTTTGACCACTTACTATGAGCTGGACCCTTTACTAAAAGTTTTATGTATATTATCACATTTCACCATCACAAAACCATCTCATAGATGTTATTACTGACATTTTACTGATAGGGAAACAGGCAGACTAAGGTAGATTAGCACACCCACAGTTACACAGTAACTAATGAAGCCTGCATCTGAACCTAAGTTCATGTGATCCTAAATTCTGATAAGTTTATCCACCCAGAGCCATATGCAGCCAGTCTGGAGTAGTAGTGTTAAGGTCCTGTGAATAACTGGATACTGTCTTGGGCCTGGAGGAATGGGATGAATTAAACATGAGAGGAAAGGCAAGGTGGAAAGGCAAGTGTGTTCCAGGGAGGGTTATGAGTGATACACTGCAGCTGAACTGACAGCATCTAGTGTGAGGGGCAAGAGAGAAGTGAGACTAATAAAAAGGATAAGTTCAAATTTAGAAGGAGGATGAGATAGAATAGAATATGTGAGTAGGTCTATATTATGGGAAGCCTCACATTTAAATACTATATACATCTGAAACTCTCCTTGAGCAAGGAAAAGATGGCCATGTTCTAGATGGACTGAAAACCATTTTATAGCCTTGGAATGGCAAGAATTGGAAAGCTAGATAATATCAAAGGTTGGCGAGAACATGGGGAAGCAGAAACCCTAGTACTTTGTTGATGGGCAAGTTAACTGTCATTCTGGGAAGCAATATAGTACTACTTGGCAAAATTAGAGATGTGTGTTCCCTATGATTCAAGAATCTCACTCCTGGATACATACCTTAGAGAAATTCTGACAGTAGCCAATAAATGGATATGTATGAGAATGTGTTGGTATTTGGGGGGAGTTGGAGGCAACCTACATATCCATGTTGATGGAATGAATAAGAAAAGATGACTTAATGGATAAGTACACTATGGTGGATGTTAACTTCACCTCACTGCTTAGAAGCAATAAATTACATGTATTAGCTCAGGCTGACGTAACAAAATTCCATGGATTGGGTGGCTTAAACAACGGGAATTTATTTCTCACAGTTCTAGAGACTTGGATGTCCATGATAGTGGTCAATTTGGCTGCCCAGTGAGGGCTCTCTTCTTGGCTTGCAGACTGCCAATTTATCACTGTGTCCCCATATGGCCATGAAAGAGAGCAAGCTCTCTGGTATCTTTTCGTAAATAAGAGCACTAATCTCATCATGGGGGCCCCATCCTCATGACCTCATTTAAAACCTAATTACCTCCCAAGGCCCCATGTCCAAATACCCTCACACTGGGGGATTAGGGCTTCAACATATAAGTTTTGTGCAGACACAATTCATTCCATAGCATCGGATGTGCATATGGCAATATAGACAGATCCTTAAAATATATTATTGGGTAGGAAATCTACAGCCCACAGTATTATTTATATTTTTTTAAAAAAACACAAAATATGATACATATTTTACGAGGACACATACAGATTCAAGAATGTATACCAAAGACATGTGAATGAAGGCCCACATAAAAGTGGAGAGGGAATGAGAGGATCGGGAATGATGAGGAATAAAATTACATAAAACATGAGAGAGACCTTGCACAGATTAATGATGATATTGTGCCAGAAACAGAGGAAGATAATTAATTCACTTCTTTGCACTTGACATTTTACAAAAATGATGGATTAGAATGAGAGGTGAGAGGTAGGCAGACTAGGCAAGCTGCTAGCACAGCCGAGTAGGTACAATGTGAGAAAGGCATGCACAACGGTGAAGACAATGGGAATGGGAAGCAA